GTAAGTGGTAAAGTGAGTGAATATTTGGATATTTCTATATATACGGTGTGGTGCTCCGTACAAGACGCCACACAAGCACCTTCTGGATGTGCAAATCTTGGCCATTTTTGCCTGCCTGAAAACCCATTAACATCTGAATCAAAACTTCAGGATGATGTGTGTGTGTGTGTGATCCAAATATTCAATAGAGACCCCATCAGATTGAAACTGCATTATATGGCAAGTGACATACTGTTATAGCACTTACACACATGGGTAAAGGTTTTCCCTGGACATTAAGTCTAATTGTGTCTAACTCTGGGGTGTGGTACTAATCTCCATTTCTAAGCTGAAGAGCCGGCGTTGTCCGTAGACACCTCCTAGGTCATGTGGCCGGCATGACTGCATGGAGCACCCTTACCTTCCCGCTGGAGTGGTACCTATTGATCTACTCACATTTGCATGTTTTCGAACTGCTAGGTTGGCAGAAGCTGGGGCTGACAGCGGAAGCTCATGCCATTCTCCGGATTCAAACCTGCAACCTTTCAGTCAACAAGCTCAGCACTTTAACCCACTGTGCCACCAGGGGCTCCAATTACACACATAGTGCTGCTATTTGTATTATTATTACTATCACTATTGGGTTGTTGTAGGCTTTTCGAGCATTCTCTCCTGACGTTTTGCATGCATCTGTGGCAAGCATCCTCAGAGGTTGAGACCTTACAACCTCTGAGGATGCTTGCCACAGATGCAGGCGAAATGTCAGGAAAGAATGTTTCTAGAACATGGCCACATAGCCCGTAAATCCTACAACAACCCAGTGACTCCAGCCATGAAAGCCTTCGACAATACTATCACTATTATTACTACTATTACTATTCTTATTATTGTATCCCACATTTATCTGAACAGAAATGCAAAGTGGCTAAGCAACAATCCCTTGCCAACCATCTACTCCATATTCCTCCTTTTCCTGAGGTCTCAGAATCTTTTCAAGGTTGTTCCCAGAACTTGGAAGTTTGATTGCTTCCCCAGACTGGAAGATCATTTCTCTACATGTCAAAGAAAAGGATAGGATGTGCCTTCAAGTCGCCTGTCACCTTACAGGAACTCCATACAAATTTGATTTGTCAAAGCAAGAAATGCACTCAGAGGAAGTTTGGTCATTGCCTTCCTCTCAAACACAGTCCTACATCAAGCCTGATTTTCCCTGGAGATTTCCCTTCTCAGGACTAACCAGCGTAACCTGAGAAAGAGTCCACCCTTTCTTTGAGCCAATGGTTCACAAAATCCAGTGTGGTGTAGTACAGTAGTTCGAGTGTTAAGACTAAAGGTGAATCTGCACTGTAGAATGAATGTAGTTTGACACCACTTTAAGTGCCAAATTGGAATCATAGCAGTTGTAGTGTTACAAGGTACTATTTACCCTTCTCTAACAAAAATTATTTGAACCTCATCAAACTACAGTTCTCACGGTTCTAGAGTACGGAGCCATGGCAGCTAAAGTGGTGCCAGACTGCATTCATTCTACAGTCCAAATGCACCCCAACACTCTGGCAAACCAGGGTTCAAATTTCTGCTCAGCCATGAAACCCATGAAACTTAGGCAAGCCACACTCTCTCAGCCTCAGAGGAAGGCTAAGGTTACCTCATGGTGCATCTACACTGCAGTAGGATAGTGGGATAGAAAAAAAAAGAAAATAGTAATAATATCTGAGGGAAAAAACTCTATGTACAGGTTTGGAGACATAAAATGTTGCTTTGTTGATTTGTAAACGTTAAACACTAAGTTAAACAAAAGTTAAGCACTAGCCCAGCCCTCTGAAACTGCCTAGGCCATTTCTGGAATTTTGGCCCCTGACAGCTCATTTGCACGGAAAGAATCGTGAGGGATTGGTTTTAATATATATGTGTGTGTTGATACAATTTTATGTTTATGTTTTGCTTATTCTGTATGTGTCTGTGTATTTTGCTTACGTGGAAACGGCCTGAGTCTCCTAGGGATGATAGAGCAGTATAAAAATAAAGTTTATTATTATTATTATTATTATTATTATTATTATTATTATTATTAAGCAGGAGTAAATAATTCATTGGATATAAAGTGGAAGAAAAAATATTAAATGTAGATAAACTAACATAAGGAAACAGAAAACCCACTTTTAATACTAATGTATGTATATGAACCCTTCTGCACAGCTATACAATCCAGAATATCAAGGCAGAAAATCCCACAGTATTTGCTTTGAACTGTTTTATCTGTGTCCACACTGATATTCCAGTTCAAAGCAGATAATGTGAGATTTTATTCAGCGGTGTGGAGGGGGCCTCAGGTAGTTTTAGAGTTATAGGTAGAGTGGAGATGTATGTTACATAAATGGTGTCTAAGTCGCCATCTACACTGCCATACGATCAAGTTCAAAACAGATAATCTGGATTTTATATGGTAGTGTAGAAGAGACCTAAGTTGAACTGATTAAGACTCTATGAGATATTTATTGAAAAACTATAGCAAAACGTG